GTGATGTGTGTATTGGCTAGTGCTGTTTGTTATAATTAGGGCTGCTTGGTGTTGAGGTCAGTGATGTGTGTATTGGCTAGTGCTGTTTGTTATAACTAGGTCAGCTTGGTGTTGAGGTCAGTGATGTGTGTATCGGCTAGTGCTGTGTGTTATAACTAGGGCTGCTTGGTGTTGTGGTCAGTGATGTGTGTATCGGCTAGTGCTGTGTTAGGTCTGCTCGGTGTTGTGGTCAGTGATGTGCGTATCGGCTAGTGCTGTTTGTTATAACTAGGTCAGCTTGGTGTTGAGGTCAGTGATGTGTGTATCGGCTAGTGCTGTGTGTTATAACTAGGGCTGCTTGGTGTTGTGGTCAGTGATGTGTGTATCGGCTAGTGATGTGTGTTATTACTAGGGCCGCTTGGTGTTGAGGTCAGTGATGTGTGTATCGGCTAGTGCTGTGTGTTAGGTCTGCTCGGCGTTGAGGTCAGTGATGTGTGTATCGGCTAGTGCTGTGTGTTATAATTAGGGCTGCATGGTGTTGTGGTCAGTGATGTGTGTATCGGCTAGTGATGTGTGTTATTACTAGGGCCGCTTTGTGTTGAGGTCAGTGATGTGTGTATCGGCTAGTGTTGTGTGTTAGGGCTGCTCGGTGTTGTGGTCAGTGATGTGTGTATCGACTGGTGATGTGTATTAGGGCTGCTCGGTGTTGAGTTTAGTGATGTGTGTATCGGCTAGTGCTGTGTGTTATAACTAGGGCTGCTTGGTGTTGTGGTCAGTGATGTGTGTATCGGCTAGTGATGTGTGTTATAATTAGGGCTGCTTGGTTTTGTGGTCAGTGATGTGTGTATCGGCTAGTGATGTGTGTTATAACTAGGGCTGCTCGGTGTTGTGGTCAGTGATGTGTGTATCGTCTAGTGCTGTGTGTTAGGGCTGCTCGGTGTTGTGGTCAGTGATGTGTGTATCGACTGGTGATGTGTATTAGGGCTGCTCGGTGTTGAGGTCAGTGATGTGTGTATCGGCTAGTGATGTGTGTTATTCCTAGGGCCGCTTGGTGTTGTGGTCAGTGATGTGTATATCGGCTAGTGATGTGTGTTATAACTAAGGCTGCTTGGTGTTGTGGTCAGTGATGTGTGTATCGGCTAGTGATGTGTGTTATAACTAAGGCTGCTCGGCGTTGAGGTCAGTGATGTGTGTATCGGCTAGTGTTGTTTGTTATAACTAGGTCTGCTCGGTGTTGTGGTCAGTGATGTGTGTATCGGCTAGTGCTGTGTGTTATAACTAGGTCTGCTTGGTGTTGTGGTCAGTGATGTGTGTATCGGCTAGTGCTGTGTGTTATAACTAGGGCTGCTCGGTGTTGTGGTCAGTGATGTGTGTATCGGCTAGTGCTGTTTGTTATAACTAGATCTGCTCGGTGTTGAGGTCAGTGATGTGTGTATCGGCTAGTGCTGTTTGTTATAACTAGGGCTGCTTGGTGTTGTGGTCAGTGATGTGTGTATCGGCTAGTGCTGTGTGTAAGTTCAGCTCTGCGTTGAGGTCAGTGATTCGTGTATCGGCTAGTGCTGTGTGTTATAATTAGGGCTGCTTGGTGTTGTGGTCAGTGATGTGTGTATCGGCTAGTGATGTGTGTTATTACTAGGGCCGCTTGGTGTTGTGGTCAGTGATGTGTGTATCGGCTAGTGCTGTGTGTTAGGGCTGCTCGATGTTGTGGTCAGTGATGTGTGTATCGACTGGTGATGTGTATTAGGGCTGCTCCGTGTTGAGTTTAGTGATGTGTGTATCGGCTAGTGCTGTGTGTTAGGGCTGCTCGGTGTTGTGGTCAGTGATGTGTGTATCGACTGGTGATGTGTATTAGGGCTGCTCGGTGTTGAGGTCAGTGATGTGTGTATCGGCTAGTGCTGTGTGTTATAATTAGGGCTGCTCGGTGTTGAGGTCAGTGATGTGTGTATCGGCTAGTGCTGTGTGTTAGGGCTGCTCGGTGTTGTGGTCAGTGATGTGTGTATCGACTGGTGATGTGTATTAGGGCTGCTGGGTGTTGAGGTCAGTGATGTGTGTATCGGCTAGTGCTGTGTGTTATAACTAGGGCTGCTCGGTGTTGAGGTCAGTGATGTGTGTATCGGCTAGTGCTGTGTGTTATAATTAGGGCTGCTCGGTGTTGAGGTCAGTGATGTGTGTATCGGCTAGTGCTGTGTGTTATAATTAGGGCTGCTTGGGGTTGAGGTCAGTGATGTTTGTATCGGCTAGTGCTGTTTGTTATAATTAGGGCTGCTCGGTGTTGTGGTCAGTGATGTGTGTATCGGCTAGTGCTGTGTGTTATAACTAGGGTTGCTTGGTGTTGAGGTCAGTGATGTGTGTATCGGCTAGTGCTGTGTGTTATGTCTGCTCGGTGTTGTGGTCAGTGATGTGTGTATCGGCTAGTGCTGTGTGTTAGGGCTGCTCGGTGTTGTGGTCAGTGATGTGTGTATCGGCTAGTGCTGTGTGTTAGGGCTGCTCGGTGTTGTGGTCAGTGATTCGTGTATCGGCTAGTGCTGTGTGTTATAACTAGGGTTGCTTGGTGTTGAGGTCAGTGATGTGTGTATCGGCTAGTGCTGTGTGTTATAACTAGGGTTGCTTGGTGTTGAGGTCAGTGATGTGTGTATCGGCTAGTGCTGTGTGTTAGGGCTGCTCGGTGTTGTGGTCAGTGATGTGTGTATCGGCTAGTGCTGTGTGTTATGTCTGCTCGGTGTTGTGGTCAGTGATTCGTGTATCGGCTAGTGCTGTGTGTTAGGGCTGCTCGGTGTTGTGGTCAGTGATGTGTGTATCGGCTTGTGATGTGTGTTAGGCTAGGGCAGCTTGGCGTTACGGTCAGTGATGTGTGTATCGGCTTGTGCTGTTTGTTATAATTATGGCAGTTTGGTGTTGTGGTCAGTGATGTGTGTATCGGCAAGTGCAGTGCGTTTTGGATGCTCGTTGTTGTGAACATATCTGATATGTCCCATGACAATTTCTAAAGGTGTTGCCCAATTCTTACATTATGTGGATCTTGTGAGCAAAAAAAGACCCCGCCCTGATGAGCAAGAAACATGACGGCTTGCATGATGGTAACCGAACGATTTGTCTTAGTACTCGTTGGTTTTACTGTCGTCGGAAGCAGTTCGTCGATTTATTCGTTGGTTTTAATTTTCATCACTACTTTGTGGGCACGGGTGGGCCAGTCGTCTAAGGTGCCGCTGTGCAGAGTTGCGTCCCTTGGGCACGCCAGAAACCTTTGATTGTGGGTTCGAATCCCGGTTCGACCCGATTATGTTTCTAGGTTTGTCAGCACCATACCCGTGCCGTGCTCACCGAAGTGGTAAACGTCTGAGACCTGCATCACTTCGGGTTTTCTTCCCACATTAAGCTGACATGCCGTGATATAACTGGAATAATGTTAAAAGCGGCGTTAAACCCAACTCACTCCCTCACTCACTCATCACCATTTTGCCTTTTACTCCCAATGAAATATGTTTCGGCGGAAACTGATTATTCTCTAGCGTTGACATAATATTTATAAAATATATATGGTTGTATGTATTCATCGATGATGCAGCCCCGTGAAGTGTTGACGATGAAATTCTGAAGCTGTTAGTAAAACCTGCCCGATTTATACGCCCATATAGACTTGGGTGTTATGTAGTATGTTTTAGAAACATATGCTGACAGACTGTTTCATGTGAGTAAACTACGAAAAGGGCACCAGCTGCTGTTATATAAATATTTGGTTCTTTTATATATGCTTTTCGGACATTAATGGCTATTAAATGAATTATTTATGCTCTGTAACGTTTCACTTTTTCAAACATTATTTCTATATTATTTTATTACTTTTTTATCAAAGCCCTGTTTCACAAAGCGATCGTAGCCCTACGACGATCGTAACTCCTGGGCCCACTTGCACAAAGCGATCTTAGCGCTAAGACTATTGTAAGCCTATGTTAAAGTATAGGAGTTACGATCATCTTAGCGCTAAGATCGCTTTGTGCAAGTGGGTCCAGTTCTTTTACATAGACCTACGGCAGCGCTACGATCACTTTGGGTGATCACTTTGGGTGATCACTTTAACCAGCGTTAATGTTGTTGTTTTTATGATAAGATTTATAAATGTCAAACTTTCGAGTTACAAAATAAATAGGGGAGTCTACAGGGATGCCGGTACAGTGTGTATTCAGTTGGTGTTACTGCAAATTTAGCATTTCATTATTCATTGCCAGTATGAATGATTGGTCAAATAAAGATAACATATTGGACGTTGTTTATCTTTTGTCCATTCCTGAGTAGCGGCGGGGATGCAGGATGGTCCAGGGCGACAAAGAGCGGCACAGGTAGAACTAGAGTGACATGGAGCGGCGCAGTGTTGGACAGTGGGACGCTGGGAGAAACAGAGGGGTACGGAGGGGATGGGCGAGGTATTAGGGAGGAACGAAGTGGCACGGAGCGGCCGGGTGGGCTACATGGAGGTAGGAAGTGTTACGGAGCGGCTGAGTGGGGTACATGGAGGGACGGAGTGGTATGGAGCGGCTGGGTTGGGTACATGGAGGAACGGGGTGGTTTGGAGTGGCTGGGTGTGGTACATGGAGGAACGGGGTGGTATGGAGCGGCTGGGTGGGGTACATGAAGGAACAGAGTGGTATGGAGCAGCTTTGTGGGGTACATGGAGGAACGGCGTCATATATAGCTGGAATATTGCTGAGTGCGTCGTTAAACAAACAAACAAACAAACATGGAGGAACGAAGAGGTATGGAGCGGCAGGGCGAGGTATTAGGGAGGAACGAAGTGGTACGGAGCGGCAGGGCGAGGCATTAGGGAGGAACGGAGTGGTAAGGAGAGGTTGGGCGAGGTATAAGGGAGGAACGAAGTGGTATGGAGCGGCTGGGCTAGGTATTAGGGAGGAACGGAGTGGTATGTAGCGTCAGGGCGAGGTATTAGGGAGGAACGGAGTGGTATTGAGCAGCTGGACGAGGTATTAGGGAGGAACGAAGTGGTATGGAGCGGATGGGTGGGGTACATGGAGGAACGGAGTGGTATGGAACGGCTGGGTGGGGTACATGAAGGAACGGAGTGGTATGGAACGGCTGGGTCGGGTACATGGAGGAACGGAGTGGTATGGAGCGGCTGGGTGGGGTACATGAAGGAACGGAGTGGTATGGAGCGGCTGGGTGGGGTACATGGAGGAACGGAGTGGTATGGAACGGCTGGGTGGGGTACATGGAGGAACGGAGTGGTATGGAGCGGCAGGGTCGGGTACATGGAGGAACGGAGTGGTATGGAGCGGCTGGGTGGGGTACATGAAGGAACGGAGTGGTATGGAGCGGCTGGGTCGGGTACATGGAGGAACGGAGTGGTATGGAACGGCTGGGTGGGGTACATGAAGGAACGGAGTGGTATGGAGCGGCTGGGTCGGGTACATGGAGGAACGGAGTGGTATGGAGCGGCTGGGTAGGGCAATGGAGGAAGTAAGTGGTACGGAGCGGCTGGATGTGGTACATGGAGGAACGGAGTGGTATGGAACGGCAGGGTGGGGTACATGGAGGAACGGAGTGGTATGGAGCGGCTGGGTGGGGTACTTGAAGGAAGGAAGTGGTATGGAGCGGCTGGGTGGGATACATGGAGGAACGGAGTGGTATGGAGCGGCTGGGTGGGGTACTTGAAGGAAGGAAGTGGTATGGAGCGGCTGGGTGGGGTACATGGAGGAACGGAGTGGTATGGAGCGGCTGGGTTGGGTACATGGAGGAACGGAGTGGTATGGAGCGGCTGGGTGGGGTACATGGAGGAACGGAGTGGTATGGAGCGGCTGGGTCGGGTACATGGAGGAACGGAGTGGTATGGAGCGGCTGGATGTGGTACATGGAGAAACGGAGTGGTATTGAGCGGCTGGTTGGGGCAATGGAGGAACGGAGTGGTACGGAACGGCTGGGTGGGGCAATGGAGGAGCGGAGTGGTATGGAGTGGCTGGGTGGGGCAATGGAGGAACGAAGTGGTACGGAACGGCTGGGTGGAGCAATGGAGGAGCGGATTGGTACGGCGCGGCTGGGTGGGGCAATGGAGGAACGGAGTGGTACGGAGCGGCTGGGTGGGGCAATGGAGGAGCGGAGTGGTATGGAGCGGCTAGGTGGGGCAATGGAGGAACGAAGTGGTACGGAACGGCTGGGTGGGGCAATGGAGGAACGAAGTGGCACGGAACGGCTGGGTGGGGCAATGGAGGAGCGGAGTGGTATGGAGCGGCTGGGTGGGGCAATGGAGGAACGAAGTGGTACGGAACGGCTGGGTGGGGCAATGGAGGAACGAAGTGGTACGGAACGGCTGGGTGGGGCAATGGAGGAACGAAGTGGTACGGAACGGCTGGGTGGGGCAATGGAGGAACGGAGTGGTACGGAACGGCTGGGTGGGGCAATGGAGGAACGGAGTGGTACGGAGCGGCTTGGTGGAGCAATGGAGGAACGAAGTGGTACGGAGCGGCTGGGAGGAACGGAGCTGCGCAGGGAGCAATAACATAACGCATACATTGCTACAAACAGACACACGCACTCAAAACCATTCCAACTCTCTATCACGGCGGTTTTCCCATTTCATCCTTGCTAAGATAAAACTGCTCCATGTATCAGCTGATTGTATATCTACAGATCACGAGATAACAACCAGTTAGAATGTCTTGCTCCCTCCGAGGATCATTCAGCGAACGAGCCGCCATTTTGATTTTCTTTTCAGCGTTCGATCGACTCAGTTTTCTATAATTGACAACCCATTCTGATGGACCCTTCAGATTATAACTGCTGGTCTTTATCGTATGTAAAATATAATTATTTTAATTAATAGTCTCGCTATTCCGACTGTCCATGTGTGAATGGAAATTGCCCGCTACCTGTGCAGGTATCGATCGCATGGCCGTGTCATCTGTGAGGCATCGACCTGTTGGGAGACACAATCAGCAGCAGTGGGAGTCACGACACTGCTAACCAGTCCTAACCAATACCCAGGAACCCAGTACTAAATTGAAACTGACGTAACACGCAGGTTGTTTGGACAGAAGAACTGATTAAACAACCCCTGCATTTGTCACTTCCATTTTTTAAACTCTCTTCCATCTTTTGTCAAGACCCCTACGGCATTGGCTTGTAATTACCTACCCTATATCTATATAATGATAATCGGTGTTTATACTCCACGGGGAATGTTTGTCATCATGGTAACGTATCTCACTGGCTGCGTTTGTCCAAGGCTGGAATATGTTGAAATCATTAGAGCTGTTTAATCAAGATATCATTCAAAATCTACTTGTTTTCAACATAAATGCCATATTCTTTGAAGACTTTAAGTTACAAAATATCTGTGTGGTTTACAGGGGTTTGAGTTAGCACTGAAAACATGAACAGAGGAAGGTGTAGGAACAAGTGGGTTTAATCGAAACAAATATATTGTCACAGAAAATATTTGAAAACAACCATCAGATAGGAAAAAGGTTTTGTATGCAAAACATTTTATATTGTTGCAAGATATTTTGTATTTTAAATAATATTTGGGCTCACAGTTTTAATTAAAGAAAGATCTGGTTTTGCAGCTGGAGCTGAAAAGATATCCAGTCGCCATAGCGAATCCCAGAGCGGAAGGTCCTGGGTTCGATCTCCACCCGTGTCATACCTAAAGGCATTAAAAGATGGCACTTGTTGTTACCCTGCCTGGCGCTCGGTTAAGGGACTGGTCCTCTGCGGCATGGTATCTCAGGGGGATAGCTAAGCAGCTACACGCGCACGCGCACGCACGCACACACACATGCACGCACACACACACACACCACTTTATTTCTCTCAGGCCGAGTGCATCAGTATAAGCGGTACAAACAGTATTGTACATGCCGGTGGACAGACGTTGACCGGGTGTTTATTTTTACAATTTTCATTATAATGTTAACAAATTTACATAGTTTCCTTTGAACAGAGATCATATGGCAGTTAAATAATTGCTGGAGTTGTAACATATTTGCTCTTTTTGAAAATTGTTTTGGGATGTACATGTCCCTTTTTTCATTGAAATATTCTACATTTGAAAATATGGTGGAATTCACACACAGACACAGACACCAGGCACACAGACACCAGGCACACAGACACAGACACAGACACAGACACACACACACACACACACACACACACACACACACACACACACACACACACACACACACACACACACACACACACATAATATAACGTTTCTGTTTATAAACTGTAGGAAGATATTTATTAACGTTAAGTCAACATAACCTATTCCGGTGTCCCGACTGTGTTGAGTTGTGAGCATATCTTCTATCCAAACTTCAAATGAAACTGTCTATGTATTCTGTTGATCCAATAACGCAGAGTTTAATCAATAATCGTTAAGGCCCACGGGACTATTGAATGACTTGCATCGGTTTCAAATGAATGACACGAAGGAACATGGCAGCCATTAACAATGCACACACCTCCCCATGTCAAAACAACGCACACTAAAGATTTAACTGAAACACAAAATGAGATGTGTTTTGATGGCGCCTGTGTGACCCAGCTCTGCTCCCTACGTCATAATGATGACTCCAGGGAATAGGTCGTATCTAGTTTTGACCAGTCAGATCGCTATCAGCCACCTAATTAGTGCATTAATTACCCCCTGCCCGCAGGTAGCTGGACGCAGGTAGCGGTGACATTGCTGGACCTTTCATTAATGCTTGGTTGATAAAATAACACAAAATCACATATTTGATGTCTTTATTGGCGTTGATGTTTTATTATCTATCTGGTAGTGATGTTTTATTATCTATGTGGCGTTGATGTCTTATTATATCTGTGGCGTTGTTGTTTTATCGTCCTCATCTTTTATAATCTCTATGTTGTTGGTGCTTTGCCACCTCTATATAGCTGATGTATTAATAATGTCTATATAGTTGATTTTTTATTCTCTATGTCGTTGATGTTTTATCATAACTATGGCATTGATGTTTTAACACCTATATGGTTGATGTCTCATCATCTCCATATCGTTGATGTCTCATCTCAGATCGTTGATGTCTCATCATCTCCGGATCGTTAATGTCTCATCATCTCCAGATCGTTGATGTTTAATCATAACTATGGCATTGATGTTTTAACACCTCTATATGGTTGATGTCTCATCATGTCAGATCGTTGATGTTTCATCATCTCAGATCGTTGATGTTTCATCATATCCAGATCGTTGATGTCTCATCATCTCAGATTGTTGATGTCTCATTATCTCCAGATCGTTGATGCCTCATCATCTCAGATCGTTGATGTTTCATCATCTCATCATCTCCAGATCGTTGATGTCTCATCATCTCCAGATCGTTGATGTTTCATCATCTCCAGATCGTTGGTGTCTCATTATCTCCAGATCGTTGATGTTTCATCATCTCCATATCGTTGATGTCTCATTATCTCAGATCGTTGAAGTCTCATTTTCACCAGATCGTTGATGTCTCATCATCTTAGATCGTTGATGTCTCATTTTCACCAGATCGTTGATGTCTCATCATCTCCAGATCGTTGAGGTCTCATCATCTCCAGATCGTTGATGTCTCATCATCTCCAGATCGTTGATGTCTCATTTTCACCAGATCGTTGAGGTCTCATCATCTTAGATCGTTGATGTCTCATTTTCACCAGATCGTTGAGGTCTCATCATATTAGATCGTTGATGTCTCATTTTCACCAGATCGTTGATGTCTCATCATCTCCATATCGTTGAGGTATCATAATCTCCAGATCGTTGATGTCTCATCATCTCCAGATCGTTGATGTCTCATCATCTCCATATCGTTGATGTCTCATCATCTCCATATCGTTGAGGTCTCATCATCTCCATATCGTTGATGTCTCATCATCTCCATATCGTTGAGGTCTCATCATCTCCATATCGTTGAGGTCTCATCATCTCCATATATTTGAGGTCTCATCATCTCCATATCGTTGATGGCACATCATCACCAGATCGTTGATGTCTCATCATCTCAGATCGTTGATGTCTCATTTTCACCAGATCGTTGATGTCTCATCATCTCCATCTCGTTGATGGCACATCAACACCAGATCGTCATCATCTCCATATCGTTGATGTCTCATCATCTCCAGATCGTTGCTGTTTTATCACATCTATTGCATTGATGTTTTATCATCTGTATGTCGATGTTTTATCAACTCCATGGCAGAATGTTTTATCACTAGTCCTGACTAGTATAAGCAGCCACACACACGTGCATGCACTTTGCTACCAAAGTGCAACCATCTTGAACGTTAAATCCCATTTCACCAAAGAAGAGACAATAAAGTGTGGCAGAACAAAACAGATTATGATGCTGACAATACATACACATACAAATATATATATTCAATCGATAACTTTCAGCTGATGAAGAGACAACGTGTATCATATTACCGTCTAGGGCTTCTAGTGTATATATAATTTGACACCAGAACTATCCGTTCCCCGGGGAACGCAAGCTGCTATAATATAGCATCGTACCCTCACAATAATCACCAGATGCGTCTTCCACAGCCTAATGGTCTCAGACAACACGCGTGAAGTGGCGATGTGTATGAACAACAGCCATAAGAAGCACACCTAAGACATAAGAAGCACACCTCCCCTGGAGACAAGTCTGTATATGTGTATGGGAGGGATGTCATAAGCCTGCATGGCTCGTCTATGATACAAGGTCTAGTTATCCAGCTGCTGTTTGCCAGTGAGACATTAATCTCACCACTTCGCCAACTAATTCAGGCGCCATGCATAATGCACGATCCGCGTGCGCTGCGTCTTTTCTGGAACGCTGGTTAATTGATCACGTTGTTGCGAAACCCACGTACACAGGTAACGGGTCTTTGATGTTTCTCAGAATGTGTTTTACCGTTAAAGAGTATTTAAAGGTTTGAAGTCAGAGACCCCAGGGGTCATTAATATTTATTTCAACTCTTTGACTTTGTGTGCTTTTTGGATGCTTGACTAGAGACAAATAATGCAAATAGTGCAAGGTGAGGTGAGGTGGGGTTTAACGTCGCGACAAGAATATTGCACTTATAAAGCGACGTGCATGCACGTGTGTGCGTGTGGCTGCTTGTACTAGTCTGAACTGATGCCAATGTTATGGTGCTATCCCACTGAGATATCATGCCACAGTTGTATATGAATACCCCACTCAGATACAGTTTACTGACTCCGAGCCGACCAGTCCTTGTTTGAACCCCTCAATGCCGAACGCCAGGCAGGGTAACAACAAGTACCATATTTTAACGTCTTTTGGTATGACGCGGCCGGGGATCGAACCCACGACCTTCCACTCTCCGGGCGGACGCTCTAAAACTAGACCAGGGAAGCGATGATAGTGTAAGGAATAGTATGCCTTTATTTGTTCAAGAATGTCATGTAACTTATTGGGTAGGCACATCGCACGAAACAATTCCTCGTGTCTCTCAAATGTCACATGTCAGCTCGACTGTCAT